AATCAGGAGAGAGACTTCCCCAAATGTCAGACCAAAAAAGAACACAATTAAGAATGGCACTTTCTGAGTTAAACTTAATAATCATAGATGAAATTTCTATGGTATCAAACACTACTCTGCTGCATATTCATCTAAGATTGAAAGAAATATTTGCAACAGCAAACAATCTGCTATTTGCAGGACTTAGTATACTTGTTGTAGGTGATTTGTATCAGCTACCACCCATTCGTAGGAAACCAGTATTTGAAAGCTATAACCATGATCTTTATAACCTATGTCATCCATGGTTTGTTCTGACAGAATGATAGAATTGACTGAGATTATGAGACAGAAGGATGACCAGCCGTTTGCAAACCTATTAAATAGATTCCGAACAGCTTCACAAACAGAAGATGACATGAAAGTAATTAAGCTGAGGTTTGTCAGTCCAACCTACAAATTATCCATCACATGCATTACATGTCTTTGCTGAAATGCTCCTGTAGATCAACATAACAATGCACATATTGAACAAATATTATCTGCACCTTTGTATACATTAAAAGCTGTAGATCAGTATCCTCGAAATGTTACAAAACAAGACATTGATAGTGTATTATCCAGTGGAAGATCAGAAACTTGTGGACTTGACACTAACATTCTAGTAAAAGAAAATGCTAGAGTGATGCTGACTGTAAACGTGGATATAAATGATAGACTTATTAACGGACAGATGGGTACAATAGCAAAGATAGCTATTAACCAAAACACAATAAACCCTCTGTAATTTATATAAAGTTTGATGACCCTAAAGCTGGTGCTAGGGCTATAGGAAAATGCACAGACAGATATGCTAGAGAAAACAGTGCAGTGCCTATTCGACCTGTATTGGCTAGAATTAAACTGAGACCAGACAAACAATCTTCTCCAGAAATACAAAGATTACAATTCCCTCTTGCATTGGCATGGGCCTGTACAGTACACAAAGTACAACGGTTGACATTAAATGAGGTTGTAGTCAGCTTTGACTTGTATGGACAAAAATACTTCAACTTTGGGCAGATATATGTTGCATTAAGTCGTGCAACTTCTTTACAAAGAGAAATAACTGGAGAAATAGAAAAGCAACATGTACGGGCCAATCCAAAGGTGCACTTGGAATATGAGAGGCTAAGAAAAATTTCTTCACTTTCAGAGACCTCACCATTAGAACATTCTCACAATAAGTTAACTGTGTGCCTCTTAAACATACGATCACTTCACAAACATAGTATTGACATTAAATTTGATGCTAAGCTTATGAAAAGTGATGTGTTAGCTTTCACAGAAACTCAACTTCTACCTCACAATTCAGATGCGGAAATACAACAGAACCTCCAACCTTTTATACTACACAGGCAAGATCACACCACTGACAAGTATTTGAGTCTAGCTGTCTGTACCAAAAGACATATTTTCTTACTGAGTAAAGATTACATTTCGACCATAAATGCTGTAAAATTTGTCATATTTATCTCCCTCACATGCAATAGTACATCCTTCCTTCTTCTATATTGAAAGAACACCTCAAATATTCAACATTATATTAACAACCTCACTGATCTTCTAAGTACTTCTACGTTTGACATTATATTGGGTGACTTTAATATCAACTACTTTAATGATAAAACCATAGTACAACTTAAGCAGTTAATGAATTTTTATTCCTACTTTCAAATTGTAAAGAAAGCCACATTTGTATCATCAGGAAGTCTACTCGATCACATCTATGTTAAGCAAACGATTGATTCTAAACTAAAAGTGTTATAGAGCAATGTTATTAGTGTCTATTACTCGGATCATGAAGCTGTAGAAGTCGTCATTGAATGGGATGAACATGTACATGTATAGGGTTAAATATACTTACGACACTTTATTACCTCATTGATGACTCAGGTCAAATGCACAGTTATACTGTATGTTTGGTTGTCTGGTGAATGAACCACATTAATTTTTTGTAAAATAGAATAGAAAAAATAACTGGAATAACTTCTTTCTTATTGTTATGCACATCATGCTTATAATAGCTACAATTCACTCATCAGGTAACAAAGGAGGAGGACCAGATGAGAGGGTGTCAGCGAGCCAATTAAAATGATATACTACAAATAGTTCATAACGCTTGATTTAATCCATCAAGGCCAAGTAAACAAGTTCTTTCACAAATACTTCCTGGCAAGCCAACCTTAGACTTCCCTAGTGCCCTCATGGATTGACTGATGGGCATTTAATACTGACAAATGCTCTGTCATGCTCAGCAAGCTTCTAAACAAACACCAACACACATCAGGTAAGCGTAAGCACTAATTTTCCTGGGAAGGGAGAGCGGCAGGGGTGAACAGAAGAAACCTTATCTGTCTTACCAGAAGTATACAAGCTTTTGGTAATAAAATATGTTGCACTCATATCTCAGGCAAGCCCAGACGCATGTTAATTTGTTATGAACTACATACTACTGTATACAGCTATTTCGAGAAACGTTGTCAGAAAAAATGTGCATGCGACAATCCTGAAAGGTAATATAGGATATGGTCAATACACTGTTCCTGACACTGTAGCTGTCGAACCTACTTTTGTTGCTTTCCTTTAGCACTGACAAACATACTTCCAAGGCCTCTTGTGCCATTCTTTTAAACTTCTTCGAAGAACAGTGAACTCAAAACCACCCACAATCCCTTTTGGGATTGTTGCGTGCACTTTTTCCGACAACCTTTTTTGAAATAGCTGTAAATGCGGTCTCAGTCAATGTTGCATGTACTGTTTGTTTGTAAGTTAGTTTGCTGCCATTTTTTAATTTGTGTCATATTGCATTTGCATGAAAATTTTTGCGGCATTGTTTGAATTGTGATCTTGCAATATGACCACTAGCACACTGGAAAATTTTATTTCAATACAAATTTTATTTCATTAAAAACCTAATTGCACGGGTCAAAGATGTTAATTTAAAACTTAGTTAGCAACACTTGCACACCAAAAAGGTCGCATTGCAACTCTTCTTTAATTACTTGTGTACTTTTGCAGATCTCCATGCAGCCCTCTCGTAATGAGTTTATACTGTATTGGATGTTATGACATTCATTCCTTCTTGATATGCAGCCTTCTTACATAACAGTACATTGTGCACTGAGGTAAATATTTATACCAGTTTCTACAGTAGAAGAGGAATGGAAATTGACCTGCTAAACAAAAGAACAAGGGAAACTGAATTTGCCTTCAAACAGTCTAATATCTATAATTATAATAGTTGTTCTGAAACACATTTACTTTATTTTTCAGAACATATATGTGCACAAAGAAAATTGAAATTAAGTGGTGGAATCCTCAGAATCCACACAGCATACAAGTCCAATCTGCCAGGCTGCTACCATAGGTCTATAATGTTGTCTGGAGAACAAAATTTAATCATGACTTCCAACGATGCCTTCATACCAGCTGGCGGCTACCATGGGTGCATAATGTTCTCTGGAGAACAGAATTTAATCACGACTTCCAAAGATGTATATTCTATGATAATTATCAATCATTTTTATATCATGATATTTAATCATGAATATGATCACAAGTTATCAGTCAGCTAACTTGTGTAAGATGAAAACTGTATTGGAAATGATGACTTCCATGCCTACATACCAAGCCGCAGGCATCAGACAAATAGGAAAAAATACTTTTACAATGTATTCTGTGATTTAAAGAAATTGTGAACTGCAAACATATTAAATTTGTTCTGAAATATTTCGCCTTTAAACTTATGTCAACGGAACATGAAGTGAACTCCTTTGCTTATAATATTATTCTATGATAATCAGTTATGTTTTATATCATATTATTATCATATGATCACAAGATAGCAGTCAGTTAAAATGTGCAAGATGAAATCTTTTAGCAAAAGTAGTGTAACATCTTTTAATATAAAACAAGGAGAGCAACATGACCATTTTTACTCCTTAGACTGTCATCTCAAATAAGTGGATATCGTCACTGCTGTAAGTGATTTCAAGCTTTTCACGGGTGATTTTCATCCACCTAGAAAATTCAGGACAATATTAATTTTAATATGGCACTGCTGTCTGTTCAAATACTGCACGCTGTTAGTCAACCTTCAGAGTTCTAATTTTAGTGACATACCCAGCTCCATCAGCCTGTTTCTTTCTTACTTGCACAGTAGATGTATGTGAGTCAAGACACCTATCACTAAACTGTAAATTAAAGTCTCTTTTTTATAGATCCTTTAAATCATTTCCAAAACTCAGCCCTTACTGGTGCTTTTTTAACAAACCCGATTGACACTGAACTTTCCAGCGAGCCAGTAAAGGACAGGGAAAACAAAACGGAAACAAAGCAAACTGTTACTTTCAAAATAAATAAGCTTTATTGCATGCCTTCACTGAGGCATATCTACAACACCCCTTGCTCCAAAAAATGTCAACAATTTTCTCAAATTTGCTACATACCAAATGAATACGGTATAGGGTGAAAAAGACTTAAGGAGAGACAGAAAACAAATATTGTATTACACTGTCTTCAATTTAAGAAATTTTGTGAGCTTCAGCTACCTTGGGATCGAAATACACCAATCAAATTTTCTGTTTCTCGGGTAGTCTGTTTCCTCAGGGGTACGTTCCATCACTATAAGTACCCTGGTCCTTTCTATTTTTCTATGTAGTAAACATGCCGCCAAAGCCCAAAACCCACAAAAAGCAGTCAAACTCGCCGCAGTCTGCACTTTCCCAGTTTCCTTCGCCGAAAAAATCCAATCCTTCCATCATAGCGTATCTACATCAAGTGTCACCATCTAAGCGAAACAGAAAGAACACATTGGACTACAGCACCCTGTTACTGCAGACTGACGAAAGCACCAAGGAAGCACTCTGTTACTCTAAAAACAAAAGCCATTGCTGAACGAAAGTCAAATCAGCCGAACCCCGATAAAGTTACAGAAGTTCACTTTCACGGACGACGGCACAAAACTCGTCATCAATGACATGACAACCATCAGCCAGCCCCTTCCTACCAGGGCGGATAAAGGTTGGGCGGTGAAACGAGCGCTCCGCTCTTCATTTATTGTGTGATGCAGAGTAGGACTGGCACGAGCGCTCTTTTCTGCGCTTCCGGTGCGCTTGAAGGCCGGCAAAATTTTCCTTTTTGCAAACCTGAAATCCTATTTTCTTTCTGTAATTTCAGGCTACAATGTTAAATAGATAAATTCGTTTCATAACAATGTCAATAAACAGTTTCATATGTTTGTGTCTGTACGTCTATAAGTCAAACTTTAAATTCATTAGCATACATAACCATACCCAGAAACGATGGAAAAATAAAAATTAACTGAAATAAAAATGAAATACAACATATACAAAATCAAAATCTAATAACACTACCTCTCTAGGGACACAATGTTGTAGCATAAGTTAATTCAGTCTTGAAGACATCTAAATTAGTCTTCCAAAGTTTCAACAATCTCAGCTACCTAATATTTTGAACATTAAATATCAAGGTAGCTTCTGTTGCAGGTGTATTCTAATCCTGGTTAGTAACATTTGCGAAGCAGCTCTAATATCCTAGTTCTGGGACCTGACGCACTAAATGAATTACCAGCATTTTGAGTTTCCCTTCAACATGATTGGCAAATGGACAATGGCATTTTTAACAGTCCAGTCCTGGCATGTTCTCTAATCCTGATACACACACAGGGGGCCCAGAAGTAGGATTTTGCCGCTGTTTTGCAGATGGACTTAACCCAGAGTTTAGTTCCATCTGTGGCACAGGGTAATATCAAGGGTGTTGGTTTAGTATTACATTAGCAGAGACAAAATCTGAGTTAGAAGCAAACAAAAGGGTAAATTTTCTCTTGGTCTTTAAATGCCTTATTTTGTAGTATAAGGGACAAAAAATCAATGGTTCCTGCATTTCTTTTTCCAAAAAAAACAACCGTAAAAGTAGAGTATTCCAATACATGTCTGTAAAATACTGTAAGCTGGTTTGTAGCAAAAACTTTATATTGAAGTGTCTTTTTTTCATAATTTGACAACAAGCATTTAAGTAATTAATTTAAAACATCTAAAATCACTTATCGATATCGCACATTATGGAAATGACGATCCCCATTGTATGTCTTGGCAGTTGCTCTGCCAATGTTTGTCCCCACACGTTTGGCTAAGAGGATGTTTTTCCAATTGAATTCAAAACAAAAAGTTTGTAGTTCTCGCCGTATATATATTGCTCCTTTCCTGTCTCAGTTAAACAAAACACTTCCAAATACTTGCTTCGCTAGTGAACCGTACTCTCTTATCCATGGCCTCTCTGGAAACTTTCCAGTCGGGTTGATTTCATGAGTGCATTTATGCACCAGCAGAAACAACGAATCTTAGCTTCAACCAACCTTGCTCGGTCTGTTCCACGCGGCAGCGTTTACGCTCTCAGCACAAAAGGAAGCATTATGCGTCATGTTTAAACCGATTGCAGTACCAAGTGTAAACGTTTCCATTATTATGTCAGAAATTTCCATTTAAAAGGAGATCTTTAAACGAAAACGCCACGTACAATTGACAACAACAAGAGCACTTTTCTATCCGCCATTTTGCTTCTCCCAGAATTCCACTGCAGTCGCAAGCTAATTTCCATTGTTTCTCGGTCCCGCCCTCTCCCCGCCTCCAGACCAGTTAGTCACGTGATCAAAACACACTACTTCCTGGGACCACCGCGGTCAAACGTCTAAATCGTTATTTTTGTTTTTTATTGCTGGAATTTCACTTACCAGTTAGATAAAAATGGGGAAAGATTTATAAATCAGTTAGTCAACATAACTATCTTTCCATTTTTCTCAAAATTTTGAGCTTTTTTCGCTGAAAACGCTTCGCGCTAAAAGAGAATCATGTTTGAAAATGGCGCCGATAAAAACGTCAGCATCGGTTTTCAATCACTTAGGACTTTTTTAGTAAACTTTGAAAAAGTTTAGTAAACTAACAGGATGTTGGTAATACCCTAAACTTTCGATAGTGAAAGTAGCAACCTTAACTTTGAAGTATTTCGCTTAACTTTTGCAAATTTCACTCGTTTGACCGCTGTGAACTTCCTGGGCGGCCATAACGTGGAGGAAAGAACAGTATTATTTCGCTTTTCTACGTTCTTCATCAATAATGGTCGATTACATCAAATCGTTTGGCAGGAAGCAATCACGACAACATAAACAAAGAGCAGTTTTACGCACCTTCGATGTACAAAGCTTGAATTTCTGTCTGGAACGGAAGACCTAAAGAAACGACTGTACAAGCTAAGCTAAGTGTTCAAGTTTATAAGAGTGATTGTGTTTTTGTCAATGATAGATGGATATAATTCGACGGTAAATACAGATCAGAGGTTGTGTGCTGGAGAAAAAACTTATCATTAGTTGCTCTTAAAATCTGGGTCGGTAATTTACATGGACACTTTTTTCGATTGACCTTTAGACTTGTATTAACTACCAGAAAATTTAGATTAATGTTGTGGCGGCAATAATTGTTTTTTTTTTCTCCCTTCAACCTACCTGTATTGATCTTAGTTACTTGAAATGTCTTTCAATGTTAGACTTTCACAAAGCAGTAGAAAAGAGACTCACTTTTTTAATTATATTTTGTTCAGGGTGCAAAGAAAGTCAGCTTTACAGCTTGCCTAGCATACACTAGCCTGAAAGCCATTTTGACTAACCCCAATTTTTTTTTTATGAATGGGACTGATTACAGTTCTTCTGTAATCTGAATTCCCTAAAAAACTTTACTTGCCAGCCAGGCAAGTTAAAAACGCAGTTCACTAGCCCAATCATAAAATCCAGTACCCCAGGGCTAGATAAAGTTGTGTACTATGGGAAAGTTCATTTAATATGACAAGGGGGGGGGGATGAAGATATTGAAACTCGAAGCTTGAAATTTTAGCAGCCCCTCTCGCTAGCGGTTCAGTTTTTTAGGAGCCCCCTCCTTGGTAGTCGAAAAAATTTCAGAGCCCCCCCCTCTCCTCCTTCAATTCCTTTGCTGCCCTGAAAAAAGATCGCTAGACTGTATTAAATATATTTACCGTTACTGTCTTCAATGGTTTATACTATGACAAACTTGAGCTACAGTTGTGATACAATTTTCTAAAGCATTTTTGGGATGAACAAGAGTGTAATAATTACTGAGACTACATTTGTTATATCTGTAAACCACGTGATATAGCTGAGTTGCACAGGTCATTAAATTGTTGAGTTGAAAACCATCCGATCTGTATGATGATGTCATGTGTTGGTTTTGAAGTATACAAATTTTCGGAGCCCCCCTCCTAGTGCAACAATTTTTTCAGAGCCCCCCCTTCGGGTGTCTAAAATTTTCGAGCCCCCCTCAATATCTTCCCCCCCCCCCCCCCCTTGTCATATTAAATGAGCTTTCCCTATATGTTGTCATTTTTGCATAAACAATACAGGAATGATTATTCTTGTATTGCTTACGACTAATTATTACGTGTAGTAAATTGTGTAAAGTAATTAAATGTATAAATTAGAGGGCTGGAGAAGAAATTAATGAGTCTTAAGTCACCGTGGGAGTTTTTTTTGTAGGGGGTGGGGTGGGTCTGTGGCTAATATTATTGAACACGGGTTATTACACACTTTTGCGTGTCTCCCTCGCGCGCGCCCTTTCTCTCTTTCGCCCGCTACTTCCAAGCGCCTGCTACGCAGGCTATGAGAAATCATGCATTCTGGAAATAGAAAACTAAAAAAGTAATAACTACAAGACAATTTGAACCTCGTTAAGATTTGAATGATTTAGTGACTTAAGGAAACTAAAGGCGACCTAAGGCGACTTTAGGCGACTTAAGGCGATTTTAGGTGACTTAAGGCGACTTTGGGCGACTTTAGGTCCCAGAGTAGGCCTATTTCACCTTGCACGAGCTGCACGCATTTATAAAATACACGTCATCTAGTTATAAAACACGATCTGCTGTCTTTTAGTTTTGCCATGGATGACATGGATGAGATTTTCCTTCGTGTTTTAGACAGTACTTAGTTGTTTTTGTTTTGGAATAACATCGACATTGGCGAGTAGCAGAACGAAAATATAATGGAAGTAATGAAAGAAACCCTTTGAAAGAGATGTTTGTCTACTTCAACTAAACCTCCCGCAAAAAATAGCAACATTTGCCTCTCGGAGACAGCGTACCAGCACAAAGGAACGAGGAAGAAGTGCAAGAAAACAAATCAAGCGGCTATAATTCAGTGACAGCGGCAGTGCCCAATGTACAAACCACATTGCAAACCGTGACCGAAGTCGAAAACAAGCGACATTTCTAAGCAGAGTCCCAGTCCACTGCATCACACCTTTTTGCTCGGACGCGCTCGTTTCACCGCCCAACCTTTATCCGCCCTGCTTCCTACAGAGTATGAGTTCCAGTTCCAGCCGTCAGCTGAAAGTTTACACCCGACGTGCACAGTTGAACAGATAAAGCAATCTTCAAGCGACTGGGAGTTAATAACTTTCTTTGGCAAAGCTCTCCACCTTGCCGAACCTACTGTAGTAGGCGCGAAGAACCTCAAACTTATAGAGAGTACGTTTGCAGATACCACCGGACAAATAACCGTTAATTTGTGGGCAGAACTAACACAAGAAGTGGAAACTGGAAAGGTATATCGTATCGCTCCCATACAGGTTAGAAGCTGGAATGGAATTAAGAAACTAAGCACAACCCCCAACTCCGTCATCACTTCAGTTTCTGATCAAGCAGAACTGACTAACCTGCCCATACCAGAACCAACTCCCGACGGCGAACAGAGTGCAAATGGAATCCTTAATGTGCCCTCCATTCACAGCGTGCACTCAGTGGAGACCTTTGTCCATTGCATAAACTGCGGACGGCGTTTGCTTCAAGCAACAGCAGCCAAGTTCATACAGTGTCAAAGATACAGTGCTTACATGAGAACAGCCAACTGCTCGAAGAAACTATGTGCTCGTATTGTGGTACAGTCAGATGATACACTGCTTCACCTTACTGCATTCGAAGATGTTCTCAAGGAAGTGTTTCCTGACCTCGCTACGATGTCAGAAGCATCTCTGGCGGAATTAATACTTGAAATGGAGTCCGTAACTATTACCTACGACACCACCAATCGCACCATTAAAAAACTTTCCACTGAAAAGTGAGGAGACGTTTTGTTATATATGACGTTCTAGTTATTGTATAAAGCAATTTGCCATTAAAGCGTATGTTCACAGTTGAAATGTCTTGCATAATTATTAGTCACCTAAGGGCATTATCCTCCGATATACCACCAAGCCAGAGAGGAGTTTGTTTATTTCATAATCCTCTGATTAATTTTTTATAACTCTAACATGTTGAGAGAGAAAGAAAAACAAGATGTGAGCGCGCGTTAAATCAGTTTTTTTGAATCTGTGATTGGACCAGGGCTTGACAGGCTGTCATGTCAAATGAACTCTCGCAACGCCCCATAAAACGAAAAAGCAGCGCTTTCAGTTTAATTTATAGTTAGACTGCGAACACTCTCCCTTTTGCTAGGAAATCTGAAAGCGAGAAGCGTTTCTAATGGAAAAGTAAGAGAATCCAACCATATCACGACCTGAAACAATCTGGAACAGTTGAACACTTTGAATCACAGACAACATCAAAGTCCACGTGGGCTGTAGTACATGCCTATTGTGCATTAAATGTACACTTTCCCGCTCGAATCAATGTAAACAAAAAGAAGCCTGACTTCACGCACTTGTGCGTTTTGTTCATAATCAGTTCATCATCAAAGTTCATATGGGCTGTAGTGCACATTTTCTCCCGGCACTCTATCATTGTATGAACTAAAAGAAGGCCGGGTTCACGCACTCGTGCGTCTTGTTATTATTATTACAGATGGTATTTTATTCGGTGATAGATGCAAGTAACGCCTTTAATCAAATGAACAGATCCGTTATCTTTCTTACCTTCGTTGGTATGGTTTTGTTGTAGAAATCTGTCCAATATAATGCAACTACACACTGATTTTTAGGGAATTCATTATGCAGTTCAAACCATATTTTAATATTTGTTTCATTTTCGTCACTTTCGTCCCATAATACCCTTTTTTGGCCACTTAATAATTTTTGCGTAAGTATTGTTTTCCATTTTCCAATGGAATATTTTTACTTGTGTAATAAAGTTTTAACTCCACGCGCAGCGTAGTTACTTAATGTGAATTTGAAAATTATAAAATCGACGCTGTTAGGAGAGTATTAACCGACGTTTCGGCAATGCTGTCTTCTTCAGGGTAAAAAACTATACGATTTTTACTTGTTGAGTTGGGATTTTCGGGAATGCGAAACTGACGTTACACCAATAAGTCTTAACGACTTCAAACTAAACAAGATCATGATCTTATTTCAGTGAAATGCACTCTAAAGGAAATAGAGTGATATTTACCTGTTATGTTGTAGTGAGAGGAAGAATAACAACATCACCAACTAACCCACTACGTAAGGGAAATGTTTGTACTTGTTTGTGTGCAGTTTAAAATGTGGTTAATGTGAGGTAACGTACTTCTCAATTACGATCTTAGCCTCACTTTCAAAAGTGTTTGAATCAGTCGTGCATTCCCGAATTCGTTCTCACTTTGAAAATATTTACCATAAATACAGGAAACACCATGGATGTGACACTGCTATTCTTAGTCTAACAGAACGATTAAAACAGGAGCTTGACAATCTCAAAGTTATCGGTATAGTTTCAAGGGATTTATCAAAAGTCTTTGACACTCACCCGCATAATCTGATAGTAATGAAATCAAAGCAATATCAGGTTGACGACAAAGTTATTGACCTTTTAAAGGACTATCTTTCTAATCGAAGGCAAAGGGTAAAACTTCGAAACGCTCATTGAACATGACAGAATACAACGACTGGAATTCCCCAAGGATCCATACTTACAACCAACAGCTACCACATGTGTAGTGTGCAGCTGGGGTGTTTGTGCATCCGCCTCGGCAGTAAAAGACAGGGTCTGTGATCGCAATTGAGAGTGTGCTAGCTATGTCATACTGATGAGCCCGAAGAAGAGCGAAACAGCTGTCCTTAGCTGCCACTGCCAGGGTGATATGGTTGTGCGCATGCGTATTGTATTGGTCATATTACGGGGTTGGCACGTGAACTTTGCCTTCTTTGCGTTGTTTATCCATACTTAGCCCTGTCCTATTCAACATATTCATGAACAATGGCCGAATTTATGCTAGAGACGAATTATCCGTCTCGGGCGGATAATTCGTCTCTAAATTTATATCTAGACAGAACGTAGACGGTTTTTTGACGTAGTTTCAACATGAGAGGGACTGGTTTCCATATTTTCGAAGTGTTTCGTGGAATAAATAAATAAATATCTAGACAAATTATTCGTCAAAACTCGTCTTCGGATCTATACTTAAACGAATTATCCGTCGACGGATAATCCGTGAATCTTGTTCACGTGATAAAACGTAGCAACCTACTTATGCCGATGACACACAGATTTTATTTCTTGACGGTCCTATAAACTATAAACGCTGACTTGTCATACGTAGATAAATGGCTTTTGGAAAATGGCATGAAAAGAAACCACTCTCAATACCAGGCTATGATGATGGGCTATTTAAGAAATGGTAAACGTGCAGCGTGCAACCACGGAGTTATTGGAGTTATGAATGTACACGTTATGAATGTACACGTAAGAGTTGCACGAGGCGATTAAGCCGAGTGCAACTCTAGCTTCTTGAGAGCTTGAACCTCCCAAGTGCATCCATAACTCCATGGTTGCACAGCTGCAACGTTTACCATTTCTTTTATAACATAATCAAAGGAGAAAACATTTCTATTTGCCTGCGGTTGAGTCATCGGTACGAGTTAGTGTATGCTGTCATCTAACAGCTAATAAAAATAAGTGTTTTTCAAAAACTTGCCTTTGAGTTTTTCTTGAGCTGAATCAACCGTTTATTGTTATTCTGAATGGCATCTGTCTTCTTGCTCTTAATATTAGGGTAAACAACACTTTGAGGGAAAACTAAAACTGCAACTATGAACACTAACTAAAAGGACAAAAAAAATAAGCTCAATCTTAAGACTTAATTATCATTTGACTGAATTTCCCTCAGAATAACAGGTAACGCTAATTTTAAAAAGAAATTAACTATTTTTTCATCAAAATTTGTCCGGGCCTAGGGCAAATCGAGCTATGAAAATCAAAATTGCAACTGAAATTCGCCAACACAGCCGACGCTGAAGCAATGGGTGAGCAGTTTTTAGATGCTGTTGTTTTTCGACCGTTCTCTGAACTACTGTTATGAATGAAAACAATAATACGAGATGTCACTTTTTTAAATATTTATTTGAAAACCCAAATGTTTCTGTACTCCAATGAAATGCGCTTTACAATTTCAGCGTAATGTGTCCAATATTAATCGATACGCCGGAAAACTACACAACAAAGCTGTCTCGAATCTGGGCGTGTTTCCTAAAAAAATTGCTTGAATTTATCATCATTTCAAAATTTTTGTTCTATAGAAACATACAAAATTTACCTTAAATCTTGTCTTACTCGGTTTTTCTTCTGCCGATCCTAGCCCCGAAGAAAACAGTGATAAATTCATCCAGGGCAAATTTCTCGCTTGATCTTTTGACTTTTTTTCTTCAAAGCGGCAGCTGAGTATTTTCTTCAACTTCCTCTTTTCATTTGTACATTTCATCGGTGCATTTTACTGACAGGTGGGGAGATTTGTTGAATTTGCCTCAATTTTACCGCGCTAGCTCAATTTCTTGGCGTGCACCCACGGGCAAATGATAGGTGGCTGACTGACCAAGATGAGCGTGCACTTTACTTTTGCTATGTTATAAAGAAGAATTAATCGGGAGTTTAGCTGTGAAAATAACCTCATTCCAAATAGCGATGCGCTTTGGATGGTTGGAGGTATTGTTGATGATACGTTGATAAGCAAGTCGCTAATATCTCTAGAAAAGTATCTCAACAGGTTGTAGTTTTAAAGCGCGTGTTTAAATAGGTTAATATCAGTCTTAAACAGTATATATGACTTTAGAGGGAAGGACATTTTAAAAGTGCCGAAGGTCCACACAATACGCTTTGGACTCAATTCCTGGCGTTATTAGGCGCCCAAGCTTTGGAATAACTTTCCTGATGTCGTAAGAGCGTCATCCAATTTTAAAGCGTTTAGACTGTTAGGAAATGAATCATTATTCCATTATTTTAGTATCTAAGAATCGTCTTTTCAATCAATTTTGGGAATATTTTTAATAGTACTTTATGTGTGATGACTCTTTGTACATGACGTACATCAGGGGGGGGGGGTTCGATGGACCCCCTCCCCCCCCCTTGAGTTTTTGATATTTTGCAGTATTTAAAAACGATTTTACTTTCAGTGAAGAGCCTTTGATTTTTCTCTACAAGATGAGGCATATTTTATGGGTGGTGGCGCTGCTGGGGGCCTGTGACGTCACCAACATTGGTTGCCATCTTGGATTTTACCAAGAATTAGATATCAGGTTAAAACCGCGAGAAATGGTGATTTTTTGTGCTTGGGATGAAAAGTAACACATAAATAAGCACTTTGCATGACTTTAGCTACAAGATTTACTTTTATTGTTGAAAAAAGTTGAAAAAACATGTACTTGTACTCAAAAATGGCTTGCCCACCTCCTACGCATGACGTCATATCTCGAAACGATAGAAACTGACCATCACTGAACTTGACTCAAAATGAGCGCGAGGGATGAACGAACAGCTACTGAAAACATCAAGTGGTGATGGTTTTTCCTCTAGGAGAAAACTCAGAAAAACCTTAACGGGGGTGGCATCCCCCCTCCCCTTCTTGTAGGTCCGAGGGTTAATTGTAAATAGCTTTTATATTGTTTTATTTATTTTTTATCTCTATATTCCTTTATTTACAGTGGCATACCTGTGAATTAGCTGGCAAAGGTTTTTTTTTTAACTTATCCATTAAGTTAAGAGTAAGTGCCGCTATAATAGAGTATTGTCCAGTAATGTTAAGCCTGGTTGGGGGTGTGGCTGGGACGTAATGCGAGCTATTTAACATTCAGTTGCGAATGGTAATGTTTCGTACCTTGTATACTGCAATGGTGACAGTGAGGTTTACAATTAAGATCTTTCACACGGCGAAAAGTACAGACATAATAGATAAGATTTTAAGATAAGATTTTTAAGTTTTTCAACATTGAAAACGAATTTTGACATATGCTGTTGCTGTTTTTCTTATCAGTTTTAGAGGACAATTATTCACTCCAAGTGACGTTACTGGATTATCAATATCAGAAAGATTATGAAAATCTCAACAGTGCACCTGCCCAGGAATTAATAAGCAAATTTGTCGCTGAGGTAATAAGTATAAGCCTCTAGGCCGGTGATTAAACAACAAAAATAGAAGCCGAAAATCGAAGGGAAACTTCGTGCCGTCTCTTGTTTATGTTCAGGGATACCTGAGCATCGGCAAACACGAGACTTGAGTGATCGCTAAATAAAAAGTGGAAAGGCAGCTATCCTCCAGAAGCAAGGTTGTGTCTCGCAGATTTCCAATCAAACCATCTTCGGATGAAAATAAAAGACTGCTGGCAATCTACTTAAAAGTGGTCCCCACCCAAAACCCCAACACATCAATGACTTAACACAAATCCAATTTAACCTATATTTAATTACGCACAAAATTTATGAAAATACAAAAAAGGAGACCAAGACATATATAGTAGAAAGGATAATAGTTGGGCCACGTTGAGAATAGAACGGCTAGGTATTCCTTCTTTAGCGCCATCAACACAGCCGTGAATGTTACACAGTAATGTAGTTTCCTAAGGACTAGCAGGTTTTTGTGTCCTCAGGAGCACATTTTATAAACATACAATTATAGAAGAAAATATCGATGTATCTGCTACAAGTAGTTTTAGCCCTTTCAGCGTTCCAAAAAAGGTCAGAACGTGAGCAACCACAACGTCCCTGTCTAAAAGAAAAGCCTATGCTGAGTTCTGCGTTTTTGTTAAAGACGCCTGACTCACTCTTAAAAGCCAGAACTAGACAAACTGTCCGAGATATCTTAGAAATGTTGGTTAGAGGGTCGCTGAGAGTGACTGGCTCTTCGCGGCCGTCTTTTAGTGAGCGTCGTAAACGCCTTTAGCTCACCTTGGAGCTCGAACCTGAAAGTTATTATCTAATGTCAGCGCGTTTACGATGTAAAATATCATAATAGCCGTGAGTACGCATGGCTGTTACGAGACAGTAATAAGGTTTTTCTGTAATTATTGGTGAAACTATCAGCCTGTTTGTTTAAGCCTGATTAGCAGGCGATTGTAAGTAATGTATATGGGTGCAAGAAATAATAAGGCGGGTCCCGTTCTTTCTTACGCTCATATTATATTACTTACAAGCAAGCTACTTGTTTGTTAATTGCATGGTACGATCCTTTCTAGATGGACAACGTGTATGAAAATGATATAACTTACTTCAGGACAGAAGTGACTAAACTGAGGTTTGTAAAGCACTCGCTTGAAATGTGTGTTTCTTAATGGACTCGTGCAACTTCTCGTTTCTAAGCCTCTTCCTCTATGTTTCACAGTGATGGCAGTGTGATTGTCTCTTTCGTGGTGTATTTCAAAACTCCTGTGACCGCAAATTAAGGGCTGTCTAAACTGAGAGGCGCCGTGGAAAATAATAGAAAGCTCGGTAACTTCACAGTTGGAGGTTTAAAAATAATCCAGCCAGTTAATCCCACGACAGCCGCATTAACTGAGGAATCAACCAGTGCCGTTTGTATCTCGACCCAGAAAGGTGATCTCACTGTTAAAAAAAGACATATTAGGGAGCTTTTACAATCACGAAGCCGATGGCAACAAGAACGCCAATGATCATTTTATGGACTACTTGAAAACACAACGAAAATTTCCCTGTCTTAGTAATTGTGAACTTTGATTTGGAATTTTCAATTTCAGGAATTTCCTCTCAAAATTTTTGAAAAGATTGCGTTGGAATAAACGTGATTCACTTGAAAAGAAGGCAATGCCGTTTTAATTGTCTTGGCAGTTGTCTTTGTAGGAGGTCCTTGGTGGTGTTAAAAAAACCTCGTCTTTCTCTTCAATCAACGAGGAATGGGACAGAGAACAGATGATCTCATAATTGCCAATGTTTGCACTTACTGGTCTATGAAATTTCAGCGAATCAGCCATAGATTATGTTTATAAAAAAAGAAAACAAAGAAATGATAATTAAAAAAGAAAAGAAGGAGAAAAAGTCCGTGGCCGTGGTGGAGGTTAGGTGTTGTGAGGTTGATCCCGACATAGATCCTAGAAAACATCCTGAATTGCTAGGAACACAAATGTTAAGGGTGATAACTAACTTTTTTTAAATGTTTATATGTTGCTGTTGATACTTTTAAACAGCAGAGGTAATGACCTTTCGCCAATATATGCAGGTTGGCTAAGGTTTAACCTTTCCTTCCTGGTTCTCTTTACAGACACTGAACGCTGCCAGTGTAATGAAGTCATCTGGAAAGCAGTGACTGGAGTTTTTATATCCATTAACATCCTTCTTGTAGGTGTGATAGTTTGGCAGCACAAGAAAGGTGACATAAGATTTTTCTCGTTTTACACGCTTTTGATTTTTCATAATTTTGGAACTTAATGAGTTACGTTCCTTTAATAGTGTAACACAAACCAACGATTTAGCATGCTGCAAAATTTAGAGCAAATAGAAAGAGCGCTTAACTTAACTTATTAATCCAAAAAACAACTCAGAATGGTAAACCGCGTGGTCATCCCTTATCCAAAATATAACATTCAAAACATGACGCAAGGAGGCAATAAATAAATAAGTATATAAATAAATAAACAAATAAATAAATCGTTAATTGAAATGTGTTTGTCTTCGTCCACAGGATCGAGAGGAAAGAAAAGGTATCACTATTCGTTACAAGTTTCAACAAATGCAATTAGTGTGCTCGCTTTCTAGAGCCGTTCTACCGTCTAGTTTACTATTGTGTCAACTATTTCAGTTTAGATTTCAGCAAAAACTACTCAATATAGGCATAAGTACAAGCCGATTACCCATAAAGAAAACTTTTTTTCTTTTTCCCGAGTTCGCGAGTCTAGTTGTTGCGGCAAGAAAAAACATTTTCCTTTTACTAATAGAAAATTGTCCTGTAAAAGGGATTGTAGAGAATCAAACACAGTTTATTCCTCATTTAATTTAATAGCCCGTTAGCCCGTAGTGGTAGAGCGTAGTGTGAGCGATTATTAATGAACAAGAAACTAGTCAAGGAAAAAGTTAACTATGTGGGTAATGACATCATTTTGCTACGCATTATAGAAGTAAACTGGCTGTATAGAAAATAACAGCTTTGAATTGTGTGTACAATTTTTCATTTTGAAATACCTTTGCAACAGAAGATCGATCAAAAAAATAGATCTGAACAGTGAAAAAAGGCATTAAGAGTTTAATGCTGGTTTCCTTTCCTCTTTGCTTGTTCTCAGACCACACGTGTTGCCACGCAATGATGCAGAAGTTTATGACGTAAGTTTTATGTTTCATTCTATTTCATTTTGTTTTCATCTGGTTTATCTTCCAGTCGATAGAGAGAAAACTGAATTTCGAATTAAGTGGATGATAACGCGATAGTCCATTTTTGTAAATTTGAGTGAACTGTGCCCTAGCATCCAGAAAAATTAGTTACATGGGTGTCTCCAGGCATGGAGTATTATTGTTTTTGTGCTTTGGGAACGTGTTTTATTAGAACATTGACTGATGATTTTGTTTTAAAACTCTCAGAATGAAATAGCAATGGGAAAGGTCCAATCATCTCATACACATCAACGTAAGACTGAATACATTGACCTAACAGAGATACCTGCGTTTGGAAGCAAGCGCAAAGAAGTCACATTAGGCACCACTCAGATAGAACGTACATCTCAGGCAGCTGATTACGCACCTCTTCATCCATCAACACGCTCTTGGGAAATTTCACGAGACAGTGTTACCATAGAAAAGGTTATCGGTAAAGGTGCCTTTGGGCAGGTTGCCCAGGGAACGGCAATAGATCTTCGAGAAAGACCAGGAATTTCTGCAGTAGCTGTTAAAATGCTTAAAGGTAATCCAAAGTAACGTCTGTGGATGGCAATGCTATCTACGTTTGGGGGGATTAATGTGGGGTTTAAACAATCTAACATTCCTTATATTGAAATAAGTCATTGATTACAAAAGGGAAGTAAAAAAGGAAAAGCATGTGAGTTTTCCTACGTGATTTTTCACAAAAATAATTAAAGAGGAGAACATTATTCAAAAACGCAATCTTTAAATATGACGCAGTGGTGTTCCCAAAGAGCATTAAGGCTTGTATTGTTATGATTTGTTCCTTTATTTTTAGCTTCTCCTCCTGAGTCTGACAGAAAGGATTTTTTATCTGAACTCGATGTTTTGAAGACGTTGAAACCTCATCCACATGTCATACGACTACTGGGATGTGTAACCGAAACTGGTAAAAAAACTGATATTCGACTGAGATGATACACATATTTGTGCGATAAACATAACAGGTCCTGTAAGGTTTTAAATGGGCGGATAAAAGGAATGTGGATAAAAACGGTTTAGCTTTAAAACATTTTAAAGAATGTAAGGTACGTACTGGAGCTTAAATGTCGCCTAGACAAAGTAATGGTCACAGATAAGAGACTAGATGTTTCCTCTAATTTAAAAAAGGTTGTTAGAATCATCATAGCAATCATTCTCTTACGGTCGACGTGAAAAAAATGTGGGAAAACGGAAATTGGCTGCCAATTTGGTTGCCCCTGTTTAACGCCGAAAAAGAGAGATTCAGGGGCTAATAACCTAAGCTGACTGTATTTCTTTAATTTCTGATCGCTCGCTCCATGTATTCATAGCGATCGATTGGGACACAGCCTGTTAATTGATAAAGGATATGAGACCAGTTCATTTTATTATTGTATCTATTTCGTATATATTTGCTACCCATTTGCATTGTACTTTTCCTCCAAATGAATCCAAATTTAAACTATCGAGATTCTTAAAGATGGGTAATATTACACATGTATAAAAAACAAAGCCTTTGAGCTAAATAGTAATTGCAGACTCAAACTATTATTCCAGACCCTTTATTGGTTTTGATCGAGTATGTCCCGTTTGGAGATCTCCTGGGATACCTGAGAAAGAGCCGTGGACTTAACGATACTTATTTCAAAGACCCGGATATCAAACCGCAAACAAGTTTGACTTCACGGCAACTTATTAAATTTGCTTGGCAAATTGCTGATGGAATGAGTTACCTGTCATCAAGATCTGTAAGTAATTCTTGTTTTATTGCGATATTATTACACCATTTAGAGTATTGTTTTGAAATAAAAATCATTTTATACCCCCGGCAACAAGTAATCGTCTTACGATTTAATGGTCAGCAGCAATGGGATACTTTTCCATGACGTCATTCACGCCAATGTATTTCTGCGTAAATAAGAACTAAACCATACCGACCATACTACTTACAGCACTATACAGTCCAGAGCTTTTCCACTTTTAGAAATGTGCGAAACCACAGTGTGACGTCACAGTATGGCGGGTTAGAAACATCTCCGAGCGGATTCAAGTGCAAGTTGGTGTGGAAATCTGTTGTGTTTTGCTTTTTTTTAGTAGTCTTTGCTCGCCTTTTAGTAACGCTGCAACGAAAACGAAATGGTAGAAGACGTGCATAAGATGACGAACAATGCAATTAAAATGTTTTAGAAAGGGAGATTTTATTTACTTTCGTGTCAATTTTGCTTGTTATTACGATCGATGAATCATCTTCACTTTGGAATATCTCTCCTGAAATCTTTTTTCAGGTCTTCATATTATTGTTGTTTTATGTGAAACGTGTAGTTGGGTCACTGTTCTGGTCATGTTCTGGTAAACATTCCGCGAGGTTTAGAGTAAAGGCCAGGTTCTTTAGGAGAACAGAAAGGAAGACACAAAAAGTCTCGTTCAGCTGTTTTGATTTTTCCTTCCGGCCTCGTGACGTACAACCTATTTTTATGGTGCAATAATATCACCTGACTTAAACACATGTAATGCATACAACTGTGGGGGTGGGTTAAGTACTTTCTTACATTCTCCCTGTCCTCCTGAACATCGAAAAAAGGCTCGGGCTATCTTTAAAGAAACTAGTCTTTACAGGGTGGAGTAAGTTTGATTCTTCTTTAATAACTATTCTTGTAGGATGATCAGGTTACTTAGAAAGTTCCATGCGCGTCCTCATCCGATAGAGCCAATGTTTATGTGACGATAAACAAAATGCCAACTGATGACTGAACAAGCTTTTTTTAACAACTGCCTAAGCGTAAATACTTTTCAAGTCTGAAAAAGTCATGCGGTACAAGTTATCCTCAGCAAGCTGGAACTGGCATCTACTGAAACATGTATGGGGTACCCTGCCACAGCACGTGAATGAACCGGACCGTATTGGGAGGGACCCCATTGCAGGTTTGGCGATCCATAATAAGAGAGCGTTGCAATCACCCACGGTGGACAAGGTGGACAGTACATGATTTGGCCAGGAACACTATTTGCTGTTGCTATTTGAATACTTGATGCACTGCAAGGGTGGTAACTAGGATTTCCCAGCTGATCACAACAACACATTCGGTGGCTGTCGCGTGAGGATAGACTGGCAATGTTTTTTTTCTGTCTCCTGCCCCAGGAACAAGTTCGTCTTCAGCTTCAGAGTCAGGTAGCACAGGATCGTCTGTAACGTCATCACCCAAGGGGTCGCTACGTCCTCTGTCATAGTTTCATTCGTAACCTCTGCCTTTCCTTCCCTACGACGTTCAGTGTCTCCTGTAGGTGTACACAACTGCAATGTCTCAAACTCTGTAAGGGACAAACCGGACGAGTCATCCTCATCTACTGAATCACTCGTGCCCAATTTATCGTTCTGCAATCTTTCTCGAGCTTTCCTGGGAGAACTGGAAGGCACTTTTCCTTGAGACTGGTTAGCGGAAGGTCTGGGTGGTCAACTTGATGGAAGTCAAATGGAAGGAGTAGATTTATGTGTAATACTCTAGGCTTACCAGTCAGTATTTCAGGTCTGACCTCGAGTACAGGAGGGTTCCCTGTCTGGCCAACTGAAACATGCACCTGCTGCTCCCAATAAGACCTGAGTTTTCCTGGCCCACCTCGCTCAGATAAGCAACGCACCAGGACTCGATCTGCATGCTGTAATCCTGAAAAGCTCAGCTTACGTTCATACTGCTTCTTTCCGGAGACTATCTATTTAAGAATATTCTTCGCGGCTTGTAAATAAGCCTCCGTCATAGCAATCTGCCACTTTTTTGCATAACCCCGATGGGTTACACCAGGTTCATCACCTGGTGACCAAACATCCAGGTTCAATGGAAGATGAGGTGACCGACCAAAGAGCAAATAGAAAGGCGAGAACCCAGTCATATTGTTTCTCGTGCAATTGTAAGCATGCACAACTTTGTTTAACGAGTCTTTCCATCTTTCTTTCTTGTTCTCTCTCGAAGAGTCCTGAGCACGGACAACAAAATCCTATTGAATCTTTCCACTTTTTTTCCCCCCTTGAGAATGGTATTGTATTAATATCACGAAGACCGGTAAATCTAGTACTTAGTTTATGTAATCTCTGGAAAAGTATATTCTCCGACTCTCAACCTTGATAATGAAGGATTTTCGAGGGGAAACCAAATCGTAGAATAATTAGTCTTGTTATAGGCGATCAGGAGCAGTTGTGTTTGACTTGCTAGGCGGGTAGGCTTGTGTAAATCTTGTGAAGTAGTCACTAATGATATATTAGTACCCACCAGAACTTTGCGCTAGATGTAAGAAGTCAATTGACACTAATTCAAAAGGCGGTGAAGTGGTAATACCGGTGAGTGGTGCATGGGTACTCAAATTAGGCCGACGTTGCTTGAGACCTGGACAAGGTTTAGTGACAAGGTGAATAACGTCACTCTCCATCTTCATTCAATAGGGTAGTTCTGCTTATTTGGCTACCACCAGTGACCATCAACGTCTAAACCCCTAGAAAAATCATCGCTAAACAATGTCAAAATTATATTACTCCTTCTGCAAACAGTTTATCCCGACCAGAGTAAAAAATATGATTAGACAAAGTTATTTCGCTTTCCTAAACTGAACCATGATTTCCTTTCTTGCTACCGAGACCAGGGTGAGATAAACCTTCCCGTGGACATTGCGGATAGAAGCTCCGGGGATCGGCCCGCTCTATTGTTGTTTTATAGTCCATGCAAACAGATAGTAAAGGCAAGTTTCTCTTTTCCTGCAAACGGTTCATCCCAGCGAGTAATTAAAGGGTTCATAACTTGTTATCATATCTGAATTTTTTTCCCATCGCGTATATGCTTGACTACTGTTGACTCTTGTATTGACTGCCATACAGAAAGTTAATGAAAACAACCCCCGCGTCATGTGACTCCAAATTTGCACCGTGATTGGGTAATTGCTTTTTTTTGTTTCGCGATCAAAACATTTTCAAAAGTGGAAAAGGTCTGGACTGCTATATACATGTATAGATTAATTGATATACTAGTGAAAGAATGACGAGTAATCGATATACGGCGAAATAAAAAGATCGGCCAAAAGGAAGGATTTTGCTTCTAACACTCCCGCTAATTTAATATGTTGGTCAAATGTTTTTGCAGATCATTCACCGAGATCTTGCAGCTCGTAACGTGTTGGTTGGGGAAAGAGAGACGTGTAAAGTGACTGACTTTGGAATGGTCAGGCATGTCCCGCAAGAGGACATTTATGAAAGAAAGACAAAGGTATGGAAAAACAAGTAATTGAACTGCAATTGTATAAAATGACTGAAAAATGCTTTGAATTTAATTGATTTTATTTTTCCATATAATATATGTCCATCTATTTTAATTCAGCTTTAATTATGTGCCCTCAACCAGTTTCACTGCCGTCATTTTATGGCCGCACTGATGTACCGTAGCTGCTGACACGAAGTTTTGAGGCTTTTTCAACTACTCCCCGCTAAGTAAAAATCATCAGATATGGTTGAAAAATGTTTGTTTTACTCGGCCTATGTTTCGTTGTATACCCATTAGGGTCGTCTTCCAGTCAAATGGACTGCATATGAAGCGTTGATGTTTAACGCTTATACCACCAACAGTGACGTGTGAGTAATTTTGTGAAGTATTTTGAAAGTTATTTTTACGACGGATCTATCTTATCTTTTAAGTTTAGGTTTTGTTTCATTGCCTTGTTTTTGTCCACGTACTGTTTTCCTGTTTTGATCTTTTGTTTCTACTTGTACTTGAATTTATGCTTAGCTCGCGAATTTACTTATTGCCATATTAGGAATGTTATTCGCTTGGCATTGTCAGATGCTAGATTTTTACAGTAAGTCGTGTTTGTGGTGTTAGAGCTGACCTTGGTTCTTTGGTACTTGTCAGTTGCGACTGTGCGTAGGGTACTCTATTCCCTAACAATAGCAAACCTGTTGCCATGTTAGCGATAAGATATTTAATACTGAAGGTCTCTCTGTCAGCTAACTCAAGGATGTCCAGCTTTGGCTATAAAAACCCTTCTATACTTGAACTAGTAAGTAGAGAAGAGTAGAAAAGTAGAAAAGTCACAAGAGTAGGAAGATTAAGATTGTTAGCGGAAGTCAAAGACGAATAAAGGCCAAGATGTAAATCAGATTCCTGGTACCTTATCGTGTAGCGAGCGAGTTGGTCGAACACACCCTCACAGTAAATACAAATTGCCTGCAATAAAGTTTATGGTGTTTGGGATCATTTGGTTATTGTTTGCCTCTTTAATTACCTTTTTGTATTTTGGTTCGTACATCCACTCTATCATTTCATTGCAGCTGGAGCTATGGCGTCGTTCTATATGAGATATTTACTGTCGGTAAGTTAACTATTGTAATAATTTACGATCTTGTTGAAGCCCATTGTCAACACCTCGTTGGAGCCTAGTGCACTTTAAAGCTCTCTCCTCAACAGTGGCCTCTTTGAGTCGTAGGGAGGCTGGGGAGAGGGAAAAGGACATTAGATTGCTGCTATTTTCATTTGGATACCCACTGGGAGCTTCTGCAGAGGAAAGAGCACTTAACATGAATTGGAAAAGAATATGTGCTTTCTTGATGAAAAACCAAAGTTATTCTATATTTCAGGTGGTTTCCGTATCCGCGAATGGATGGCAGGAAAATTGCTAGCTTACTTCAAGAAGGATACAGGATGCCTAAGCCACAACACGTGGATGACAAATTGTAAACGTTTTTATATATTTTAAAAAAATTACTATGGTATATAATACTAGCCAAATTTTATTTCGAAGTTTTAACGAAGAAAGTGTTACTAAGTAGTATCACACAAGTATTAAAGAAGAGGTTTTAATTATGTGTTTGAATAGCTTGAAAAGCCATTTGTTTTTCACTTTTTGACATTCTGTTCTACGTGAAAAGAGCAAAAATGTAAGAAAGAAAGCAACCCGAGCAATACCAGAAAAATTAGTGGGAGAAATCACAAATAGAGATGAAATGATTTTTCTCAGGTATCAAATCATGATGAATTGTTGGCAAAATGAACCAGAAGCGAGACCGTCATTCACAGCATTGACAAAACAGCTCAAGGATATGGAAAACCAACACAAGGTGAGATTGTTAGTAGTTAATCAAAATAAATAAATAAATAAAATAAAAGATTGTTTTAAGGCTTTTACTAGCTTTCCATAATTACATGCAATGAGAATCTTTCCCAGCAAAATTGTAAAAGTAGTGTAACGACTCAAAAAAGTATAAACATACCGTATAGCATTATAATCCGATGAGACAATTTTCTGTAACATTTCTTGGAACTTAATTATCGAAAGAGCTGGGAACGTTTCTTGTTTGAGGGAGGCTTTTCCTAATTTTTACAGGTCATCTAGGAGTAACTGATAAAAACGGCGAGTTGCACTGATCCATTTGTCTTTTTTTTAATGCATCTTCGTTTTTGTAATACTAACTTTGACACAATTTTACAAAATGTTCTTTTCATCCACAGAAGCTGATCAACATGCGCATTTACAACAATCAGTTGTACGCAAACGTTGAGGACCTGAACGTGTAGACCTGATGTTGTGTGGATGTTTTATAGCCTGCTTTGTGTATTTGTAATGGAATTTTTAATAGGATAGCGCTGCTTTCGGGGACGAAGCAGAACATATGCTTTTAATTAAGTTTTATTGAACTCTATACCGTCTGTTTGTATTTTTAGGTATTTCATACTCTAGACTGGATATTATATACATGTATAGTACTGCGCATTAGAATGTATACTGATGTACCGTAAATGGCCTAATAAACGCCCGGGGCGTCTATTAGACGGGGGGAGGAGGGCTTCTAATAAACTTTTGAGAGCGTAGGGGGCCTTTATGAGATAGAAGGCCGCGTTTACTTGGAAGTGGGCGTTTTTTAGGTCATTTACGGCATTTTATATTAGAAGAATTATTATGTATTCATCCTGGAAATTCTCAGCAACATACTCACATATGCTATTTTAAAATTACTTCAGATGTTTACTTTCAATCGGATAAATACAGTGTAGTTAGTTAAATACAATTTAAAGTACATGTTTGCGGCAAGATCTTGGCCTATCATAAAATAAAATCCCCCTAATTTTCGCCCATTTATCACTACATAAATGCCAATTCAAACCAATGGTACAAGGGCGGACACTAACCGCTAACGTTTCAGTTACGATGCGAAATTTGAAAAGTTTCTTCCCTAAATAGATAGCTCCTTAGGTCGTCTACCTGATGATGTTAACATCATGGTATACATAAGCATGTTGCGCTTATGGGGAGCTGTGACATGACCCAAAGACATTTAAGGTTAGTGCCACTCTCCCTCTTGTATGTCCGAGGTTTAAATGTTCCACTTCTTCAGATTAAGGTGGAAAAAATGACATAAAATATCCTCTTAACCTTTTAATCCTGTGTGGATGTGGAAGTTTTTGACTATTAGTTTAACTCTTTGAAATGGCTCAACGTTGACATTTCAAGAATACGAAAATCAAACTAAAGCTTAAGAAACAGCAAATTAATCAAATTATCAATCAGCAAAACATTTGCATGCCGATCCATGGCTCTTTCTTTCCATTCGGCGACCACATCTGCTGCTGGCCATTGACGTCTCCTTTAATGAAGTGAGTGATTTCAGCGTAATCTGTCCTTTCATAAGGTGATGGTCTCTTCACAGGAGGTAATGCGTCTGGATAGGAAGGTTTATTCGGCCTCTGACGTTGATCCAAATCACGCAGTTCAGCGTAAAGGGTTTCTCCAGGTTTCTGTTTTTGATTTAAATGAAGGGAATGAGTTGACTCTAATGGTGTAGCTCTAACTGGTAAAGCTTAAAATATATGAGACCCATTACCTCACCAATCGGCAAGCGCCCGAAAAACGACAGCAAAAACCAAACAACAACGACGATTTGCTTTTCCCAGGCGATTACAAACTCAAAGAAATAGCGTGTGAAATGCAAAACACTCACATGCTAAGCAGGCATTTCCCCTTATTTTCTTCAGCTAATATTGACAATTCAACAAACCTTCACAGGTTTTTGTTCATGGGTGTGTTCTTCTACCGCGCTGTGCTCTATTTCATTTTCTCTGGCCCTGTTAAAGAATTAGTAAGAATGAATAGATAAATTGAAAGAAAAAAAAAAAAAGAAAGAAAAATAGTTCGCAAACGGAATTTTAAAGTATAAATTATGCGGGTAAATAGTGCAATAGTCCGCTACACCCAGAAACAAGGAAAACAGAAATTCAAAAAAATATAGTGTACACATGTGAGTTTTACCTAGTTTATAAACAAGCGTTAAAACATCACTAATATTAATTACGCCGAGAATTTCATCGTTCTAGGTTTCTGTTTTGGGGTCCCTACAATGACATTGAGAAAAGCAATCAGACCCATCGCAGTAATAGCAAAATATTCTTACGTTTCTGATTGGCTCAAATGACAGAGTAAATTCTTCATAACCAGCTTTGGAAGACATTTACGATATTTGGAAAATGACCTCAAGAGTACGGCTTTAATGCCAGAAAAATAGACTATAAACGAGTCGCCGAGGTAACGCAGTACCAAATGGAGGAACATTTTACGGGTTTCGCGAAGAAGAATACAACTCGCCCGGATGACATGTGCATGATATTTGAAGAATATCTGCAAGAATTATCATGCCTTGATATCCTTTTATATCCTGAACGTGAGACGAAACAGGGAAATGAAGACAGGAACTTTACATCGATCGAGGTAAGCTTTAAACTAAGAATGCATGGGCCATTTTCAAGGTGGCGAAATTTGACTAAAACTACCAGAAGTCATTTATGAACAATAGCTCTACTTTGCACCAGAAAACAACAATCTGGAGGATTCTAGAACAACATGACGTCATGTTGCCATTGTCTGGACTATTGTTTTGAATTCATGAATTCTAATCGGCTTTCGCTGAAGATCGAGGAGGCTTTTATCCATCTGAACCTTTCACTTCGGCGCATAAAACCCTCCTCGATCTTCATAATCCTTCAGATCAAAATCAGCCTTATCTAATTATTTTTCTCCTTAACTTCTTAATAGCGCCTTGATAGTTAACATACGTAATAAACAAAAGGAATATCTTGGAGAATTGTGACAAAACATACAAGCAAAAAGCAAACAAGCAAAATCGTACTCACAATGCTTCGCTTCCACCTTCTAAATCATAGAGTACAACGTTACGTACGCAAGTCGATGAAACGATGAGGATAAAAAGAAAAAGAAAAAACGTTAGCAGCTATTTGAACAAGAATAATGACCTTTCGTTATTTGACAGATGAAATGACAACCAAAGGGCTTTTGAAATTTGTTGGGGGTATTTTGCAATCTCTTATGGTATGTTCGAAGCCTAAGCAAGGCTACTTTATCTTTTAGTCAACTAAGCTCCTCTATGCAAGCTTCAAGTAAACATGGCTAACATATTTTAAACTACTCACTTTTGTTGTCCTTCCGCAGGCAACATATAAGAAGAAGAATAATGGCAATCACCAACACTGCTCCGCCAGCAGCAGCGCCAATTATTATCCAAGGAGGTCCATCTACAAAATAAAGTGAAATTGTTGTTTATAAATTTAATAATAATAACAATAATAAATTGTCTGTTAGTAATTTAGATTGATTCAAAACTCTCTTTGATTGACCGCATCTCCTAATTGATTTGCATAATATCCTGACGATAGGACGCTTCTTTACCGCGTTCTTCAAAGACAATGTAAACTTTTACTGATCTAGTGCTGTTCTCATCTGGTGGGTGGTAGGCGGGGGGGTGGGCGGTGGGGGGTGGGGCGAGGGGAGTAGCCATACTCGTCCTCGACCTCGGTTACTCATGTTACAGAAACATGATTAACTTCCCTATATAGTATATCTCGAAAACATGGGTACCAAACTGAGAAAAGCGGGAAATTTGCTGTTAAATATTTCCTACATTGTAATAGGAACGGGACTGTCCCTGTTGATTTATTGTTGCAAAACTACTCACAGAAGCACCTGGATTACCTCTGATAGTAGCTGGGTAATCTGAAGCGGCTAATTCCATGGTTAATTCTAGAAAAAATGAGGATTGGGGTTTCTTTTGGGCTGTACGGTTCCTCTTGGAAACTTTGTACCAATTTCGCGTTTTTATTACCAACACTCCTTGAAAAGTCGATCACGTCAGGCCGCCATTTTAAAAGAAAGTGAGGTCTTCCTCTTTCTTGGAATCATTGTTTTTTTTGCTCGCCGCAACCCTGTGCAGTTCCATCATATAAAACGGTGGAAGAGCCATCGTTGGATCATTCTTCGCTCATACAACAGAAAACGCTTACTTTAATGCAGGCTTTGATTTTGCCCTCAAGTGCCCAATCAGCTACTCTTGCCTTGGCTCTTAATTATTTGCCTTGATCAAAAACGTATGTCGCGTAGGGCGGTGAGATCGTGTAATAAAAGTTTTCTGCTAGAGGCGTGCCTATAAAATTAAAGGGAGGATTGGGGCATTTTTGTCTTCACTTAACCTGACAATCAAAGATTCAGTGGTTGTGACTCAGTGTGTGTTGCAATCTCGCTAGTTAAAACTTATTGCTTTAATATCTTGGGTGACAAATTACTCCCTAATTTTGGCGTCAATAGACAAAATTGCCATGGAAACGCTCCGTACGTCTCAGAGCCAAATTGGTTTCAAAGTTTTAAAATGTTATGAATGATGATGTCAGGGCATTAAAAGACTTTTTAGAAAACCGAAACACACGAAAGAGCACACCAAGTTGGATTCAAACAGGGGATTTTGTCGAAAAATTCCCAGACTTGTCAACTTAAGCCAAAGCTGATGCTCTAAACTTTTCAGTGCGTGGAGTTCTCAAAGATGAACAAGTAAAAATACCATGATTGCGAGTGCGTAAATTTGTCGCCTATGATATTAGGTATTCAAATGGTAAGCTCAATTAGTATATAATTATTAGAATCAGGACAAATCGCGAGTGAAGTTATTCCACAATTTCACTCATCACCATCGGTTACACATACTAATTTCATACTTTAAAAGAAGTATGAGTTAACTGATACGAAATACAAAGCCATACAAATTTGCTTATCTTACCTGATGTGTCCTTATTAACCCTCTTCCCCGGAGAAATGGATGCAGTAGATGAGTGGGTAGCTATGCTTCTTACTGAAGGAGAAGTGGTGGGATCCACTTCAAATTCCTCAATAGTTTTGAAATTTTTTACTTGGTAACTACCAATTGCTCCTCTCTCCACTGCATCCTTTATTTGTAAAGTTCCTTCTTTTGTACTGACTGGGAGATTAAAGTACAGCACAAAGTACACGATTATACTGCCGTTCCTATGGGGGGTAACCAAAAAAAAATTAACGTCTGGAAAACTGATTTCTGTGCAGTTTAGCCTAATGATAAATTAAGATTGATTTACGTAATTTTTACGTATAAACAAGATATAAATGTCAAATGTTGGATTGGGTATACAAGTCTATTCTTGGATTGCAAAAGCGTTCCCCTTTTACAGTTTTTTCTTTGGTTCAAATCTGCGATTTGGTGGACTTCAATCAACCTTAACCCGTGTTTACACGTTGGCCAATAGAAGATTCTTTCCCCGATTCTCGAGCACTCGGAGAAAATGTGGGCGTTTAAGCCGTTTTTGCTTCATGTCAAGATTACAAGGGGTACGAATTTGTGGAGTGTTTGTCGGAGGGGACTCAAATTATCGACTTATTTGAACACTGAAAGTTACAACCACATAAGCTTTCTCAATACACGCTGGCAACTCGTCTGAGTTCTTGCCAGTTCAGGATTCTATTGAGTATTCAATAACGTGAAGAATGATGACTAGATCTGCGGGGTACAAAATTCATTTTCGAAAACAGCCTCCGTTCATAGGAAACCTTTATCCATTGTCGGTGTGATATCTTCCGTTTGTTTGAAATTATGCGGGTCCTTGGTAATTCGTCCACGGCTTCCGTGTTTTCATACAATCAAAGAAATACAGCTTGTGAATAAAGAACCTGAAAACCGTTAACTATAGAGAGTATTTCGGCTATTTCACTCAGCTCGCAGAGACCTCGTTGTTTTAATAATGTAATCCTTCATCTTAATCAAATAAATAAAATTAAAAACGCCGTCGTTATTAGAAATTATTTTGGTAGGTCTTCGCCCTTCGTTCAGCGACGAGGGAACCTTCTCTGTCAGAGCACGTGAGAAAACCAGGGAAACAGTTGATTGACGTCCACGAAAACTCAGGTTTCAACCACAAAGAAAAAACCATTCGAGGGTGCGTGTTAGTCCCGGGGTGGGTACTCCCGCGAATTTTCGATAGGGGTGTGCAGCGAAGGTTCGTGAACCCTGAGCCTATCTAAGGACTAAGAAAGCGAAAACTGATACCCTTTTTAAGGCCCAAAGCCGACAAATGACACCCTGTTCAAGGAAAAACAAAATTATTAACAGCATGAAAAGGAAAATCTTATTTCTTCACTGTAACATTGGATGTATAGCATCAAGGATAAAATACTAGAATACTTAATACATCAAGTTTAAAAAAAAAACCGTTCGTTTAGGCAGGCGTTTTCACACTCCAGTATTAGATAATACAATTAAGCTACCCTATCTAAGGACCACTCCAGCGACACAGAAACAAAAGGGTCATAAAAGATACCCTATTTGAGGACCGAGAACCTCAAAAACCATACCCTATTCCGCGGCACGTACCTTTATAGCCCTTATATGGGAGTACCCCCCGGGGTGTTAGTGGTAACCGCTGTAAAATGTTGCGTAATTGTCCAAAGAGAAAACCAAAATAAAACGCAATTATGTGCCTACTCTAGAATAATATACAATAATCTAAAGTAATCACAGTGCCTCGATATGGCGTGGAAGAAGCCTGTACTCAAGGGCTATTGATAACAGCTGAAATCCTAAATAACTAAACAATTCGCATATTTACTAACCTGTATCTTAGAAATTCTGATTTATCAAAGCCAGCTGTATTGCTGTTCAGTTTGTCAAACTGAAAAGAATAGAATGTTAAGAAATTTTAGATAAAAGCGTCCAAACTAGCCTTCGAAGGCTCGTGAGTTTCATCCGATTACTTCGAGTCGTTATTGCTCCCTCAGTAACGTCTGAATCGACCGGCCGTTAATGCCGTCCAGTGACGTCACTACTCCTTGACCTTTGCTTTAATTCATGCAAGAAGTAAAACACGATTTTCAAGTGGCAAACCGAGAAATATCGTTTGAAAATGTCTGCATGATACAGAACTGCTTAATTTTTTCGATCGTAATTCATGTTTAACGTTCAAACTATCAACTGCATGCAGCACAACTCTGAACCGGTTGTACTAAATTCTATAATCAAACTCGGTCGCAATCACGCAATGAAATAAACACACACACGGCACACTTTATAGTTCAAAAACACAATGATTTGTTTTAATTGAAAAGAAGCTACTTGGTCCTTAACAAAGAAAAAAAACAAGGAGACAAGAAAGAAAAGCTAACAGAATCATTACACTTGACGGTAAAAATAGCAAGAAGGTCGAATTATAACAATGATCTCAGAAAACTTCGCGTAAACAAAAGCACCGGCCGCCGAAACCACAAAGCGGCTCTAAATTAAAAACCTACCGACTCTCCGCAATGATTCTTCATTCGCAGTTCAATTTAACATTTCAGTTTCGAAGACAAGGGCAATTTTGCTGTTTAAGATAAAGATTAAGCTTATCGAAATGTTTGAACTAAACGAAAGATTGCAAGGGATGCCATCTGCTGAATATCAAGCGAGAATCCCGCTAAAATTTTTGATAATTATACATAATTATGCGAATGTTTAGACAATCAACCAATCAAAATCACTACCCGCTTTTCGGATAGTGAGTGACGTCACTGGACGGCATTAACGGCCGGTCGATTCAGACGTTGTTGAGAGGAGAAAACGACTCGAAGCAATCGGATGAATTTCAGGCTAGTCGTGAGTTCGATTCTCACCTGGAGATCGGAAAATTATTCTAATTCTGGTGTTCGAATTCTCCTTCTTCTTTAATACATTAACATAGCGTAATATTAATTTGGCTTGCCAATCCTTTACGAAAGCTTATTTTGTTTTTCCAATAGCTGCATCGAGGTTAACGTTATAGTTACGCTTTCCATGCAGTGAAATTAAAGCGTTCATTTTCTACAGTTTAACTTCACAAACGCCTATATATAAGGGAAGTAAATATAAAACGATATGGGAATGAATTGTTGATTTAAAAATGTAACGATGGAGGAGAAGCAACAGAAAGAAAGTACAAAGAAAGAAAGAGAGAAAAGATGAATGAATGAATGAATTAATGTAGCCTGCGTAGCAAGCGTTTCCAATCGAGTTATTGCGCAAAAGTTAGAGCGGAAGCAAAAAAAAGGTTGAAGGGGAGGTGGGGGGGCGGGGAGGGAGAAGAGGAAACGCTTGCCCGCAAACTCCACGATTTTGGAAAACGCCCCTTGAAATTTCACGGTTCGGTTCATTTGTAAATTGACAGCTCGTCAAAATAGAAGCATAACGAACAGATTACCCCTGGATTACCAGATTTGTAAAATTACTTTTAAAATTACATGTTGCAGGCGATTGCAAGAACTGTAATAAAAAAGATTTACGATAAAAGAAAGTTAAAACTATGAGCGATTGCTGCGGAATTTCTTGTTTTTTTATTGTGTGGCTTTATCTCGTCTGAAACCTTGTCGACACGTCAAAAATGATTTGTCCGGAACAATTCACTCCGCCGGGTATAAGTTTTGCAGAGCGGCTGTTCTTCAGCCTGTGTCGAAACGTTCTCAACAATAGATGCCGCTAAATTTACAATAAACAAAAAGAATCTTTTCATTTCAAAAAGCTGACAAATCGCTTGTCCATGGCGGCTTTAGCTAGTGTCGAGTACCGATGTTCTGTTTTATGTTGATGTTATCTCCAACAAACAGTCCATTTTTTCCAGTCAGATCCGCACGCCGTCATTCTCAAGAAATTGGCCTTCCCTAGTCTCCACTGCTCGATCTCCAATTATACTTCGAAGACTCTGATCTCATAAACCTTCGCACAAACACGATTCCAATAAATATCAGTACAAAGCATTTGTAATCTGCGACCACAAATCGGATGAGACCACATTTGTGACGCACGAAAACAAAGCATACCTGGTTTGATTGATGTTTCAAATGCTAAGTAATCAACACTACCCGCACCGCGCCAATCAGAAGCTGCGTTCGTGGGCGAACGCAGTTTTTCAAAATCGTGGGGTTTGCGGGCAAGCGGTTCCATCGTTCCCCTCCCTCTCCCCCGTCATTCATTTTTTTTGCTCTTGTCCCAGCTTTCTAGACGAACCTCGCGAGGAAACGCTTGCTACGCAGGCTAGAATGAATGATACCTCTTTTTTGAAGGGTTCTGCAAACTCTTTTGCAACATCACTGCTTATGTCCTCCATGCCTGACTTAAATTCGCTATCAACTGCTAGTGTACCATAAATTTTAGTTCCTAAAACGTTGAAAGAAATGACTGTTAACCTTGATTCAAAATCAATGATATCATGAACTATCATTCATTTAGTTTTAACGTAAACCCTTCTCTCAAACCAGTTGATTTTCACTGCATTAATTATTTACACTGTTAGAGGGGAGCTCGTTTATCTCTACCAAACCAGCACCCAGCGTCTTCAGCTACTGAGCCTTTGTTTCACGTCTGCAGATATAGATATACAAGTCTTCTCGCAAAAAGGACCTTAAAACCCCAAGCAACGTCTTAAAGCATTTTCACTGCCTGACTTTTGCACAAATTCTAGCTGGGATCGGAACTGTGATCTTCAGGCATGATTTTGATTTGAAGCCAGGTCTGTAGTGTTGGCTTCACCTCGCCCTTCTGATTAGAGTGTGCTGAATTTTTTTTGTTAAATCGGTTGGACCACTGCACATATCAAAAGCACATGGTTTTCGTCCGATGTGTTTTTGTCCTTTTTCTTTTGAGGTTTCCTGGAAAGGCATGCACGCTGTCAGTAAGTTGAAGAAATATAAAAAGAAAAGAACAGCTTACTTCTGACTAGTACAATAATCGAACGATCGTCAAACCCAAGTTTATTTGTTGCTGTGCAAATATAATTTCCTCCACTACTGTCGTTTACTTTGTGAAGTCTAAGTTGTCGGCCATCAGCGACAACGGCACCAGCTGTATTCTTCCAAACATAACTTGGACTGGGATCACTCTCTGCTAAGCATTCAATAGTAACGCTTTCTCCGGCCATTATTTCCCAAGTATCCTTTGCTGGTGAGGTAATTACTGGAGGGGCTGAAAAGGATAAAAATATAAACATCCGGGTCATAGTTATCTACGAAAGTCTGATTGATCGTCTCCAACGTGCTAATCTTCAGTCTCTTGAGGGCTTATGAACCTTTTTCGGCGCTACTTTGGAAATTTTATGCCTTAATTAAAAAATCCAATCCAAAGATCTACACTCCCAGTACTTTGATCCGGATCGAACCTTGCAGTAGAGTCATTTCCTTATTCTATCACCGTGCTTACACCATCGCCCTTTTTTACCACTAACAACTTCCTCAATTCTTTAAATTCCCTACCTCTTATTACCTATAAAAAATAACAAATAATGATAAAATAGTTTATTTCACTTTCTTGCAATTAAAACATACTGAATAAACAAGTGATATATACAATGGGAAAAATACAACGTAACTTTAATTCTAGGAGTATACAATTGCACCAGAAATCATGTTTAAGGATATCTAAATGTAAAAAATTCAATATTATACGACTGGTTCAATGTCATGTGGGGAAGACAGGTCAGTGATAAGTGAGAAAGACAATCTTTCTGACCGAAAGGGTGTTTTTATAATATCAAAGTGCATATAAAACTGAGTATCAAATAAAAAGATGATATCCGCACACAATTAAACTCAGAACTTAGTTATCTGTCTATCATCACAACGCTTAGCCTGATTAGCTGGCGGGGTGTTTATTTTATTATTATTTTTTTTTTTGCCCGGCTCCGCCGCCAGAAACTACACTACAACACTCTTCCGCTAATCCTTCGCAGGCTTCACAAAGTTTGCAAAGGCTTGGTATCATATTGGAATGGATGCTGCATTGTACGCCTATCCCTTAAAGTGGCTCCCTAGAGTATTTCCTAATAACGCTAGCTATCTAGCATACAATACAGCAGGAAATCTAGTTACTTTGTCTTTGCGATTTGGTTCACGAAATTCACCGCTAAGTTTACCCATGTAAAAAGGCTCCTTTAACAAGTTTTATTTTCTGGATTAAGGCCGTTGCCATGGCAACATCGCATCCTTAAACAGGCAGTAATTTTGTCATTTTTGATCATTTTTTCTTAATATTTCTTATTTCCCTCGGTGAAATGTCTTTAAAGTTTGCCACTTTATGTTAACGATATTGCTTAACATTTTAAAGTGGAGAAAACATGGTGTCGTTAAGACGGTTTCGCCAATATTTTGAAATTTGTAACTTTTCTTAATAGAGGAGTTTAGCTCTTACAGATTTTAACAAGAAAAGGACAGTACAAAGGAACTGCAACTGTTAAGAAATGAGGCGATTTTTAAAAAAATTTACCGAAGGAAACGCGAGAAATTCACGGTTAATTAACCGCGCTGACGTCACAAAAATCCGGAAAACACGCGTGGTTCGGGTTGGTATGAGGGAAATACGCGCGCGAGCCATCACGCCCGCATGCGCATAATGCACAAAGCTACTGAAAACATGTGGTTTCTTTGAAGAGTACGAAAGCCACTGTTTTGAAGCCGTTTATTCGAAATAGTTAACCATTGTAGCCAAAATTCGAGCCGTGGTGGTCACTACTCGTGCGGATGGCGCTCATCGGAGATGAGGACGGTGCTTTTGGAAGGATAGCGATAAGCCCTTCATTTCCTAATCTGCTGTACCGACTTCTTGCAGATCTTCAAATTCCAGCCCACTTCCGGATACTTGTTCAACCTTGTTCCTCTTTAGGGATAATTTTGACGGCGAAGTTTTTCTTTAAAAGCCTGCTGTAAAAGATGGCGAGATCTAAAAAAAAGTACATCACGTCCTCAGCCGCACGTACAAGACCGTAGTTCTCGACGGATAACCTACTATTGCTTTCGACAAGGGTCAATTTGTGACTCAAAAATTATTTTTCGTTGTGCAACAACGTTTTCTAGTGCACCTTGTGCGTTAAAGAGCTTTTGAAAAGGAAAAAGGACAAGGATGTTGGTTCATCGATGGAAAGGTTCCTTCGATCAGGATGCAAGTTAAGTAGGAAACCTTTCTTCTGATACGTTTTTTAAACAACTGATCAAGTCGGCAAAACAAAACAAAAATTACACTTGCTGTATTCTTGCCTTAAAGCCATTTCTAGAATTTCTTAATCAAACCAAATGTGAGAGAAATGAAGTGACCGAGGAGCGCCGCTGGTGAAGACATTCTTCAGTGGTTGTTTCGGGACTTGGCTCGATCTTTCAGATCTTTCCACTGACCGTGAACCAAAGGCCAGAAACAATAACATTGCCTCCTTTAGGGTTAGTGTCCTTATTTCTTTGTTTTCTTTGTAAAGTTTCCATTCACCATTTACTTCGACTATTTTACGTTTGTCTACTCAGTTTGAAGCGAAAGAATTGATGTCTTTGGAAAATTTCTGCTTCGTTTTTACATACAATTTACTCTTATGGAGATCGATAGTGACTTGTAACAGGTGCAATTTAACATGGTCTCCTCTCATAAATGTTTGACCTACACTAATCAGACTTTTTGCACAACGAGCTTCAACAGAAAGTTAATAAAGTTTTTTGAGGGGAATATTTCGAAACAGAGGGGCCATGTCTGTTATATTTTTGCGTGGACGTCGTGCAGATTTTAAAGCTCGCGCCATACTGGTGCTCAGGCTGCGCACGGCCAATTTACTCTAGGGAGCCACCTTAAAACAAATATTCATGCCCCTACGGCAATGCGGTTTTAACTGCGTTTATTACATACTCACTCTGAACAGTAAGAGAGACATCCCTACTGACTGGTTTGCCAAATCCATTGTCAGCAGTACATTTATAAGTTCCCTCATACTCTTTACCACTTATACTCAAAGGCATTCTGACAACGCTGTTATCAGACACCCTTGTCCAGTTGATCGTTGGTGCTGGGTACCCAGTGGCTTTACAGTCAAGGAGCACGGTATCCCCTTTATTTACTGTTCTGTCAGCACTAATGTAGGTGATTACCGGAGTAACTGTCAGGTGAACAACACGGAACTATAATTAATAGCACGTACCACAATCAACACAATATCATATGCAGTTAACTATAACAAAGAGACGAATAAATATAAAAAATGAAATAAGCGCCGAAGCCTTTTTTGTATCTTTATACAGACTATAAAGCATGTACTCGTGTGCGAGCATCACGGAAACCATGTGGAAATTTGATGGAACAGTTCCAACCAATCATGGGGCGGGCAAATAGGAATAAAATCAAGACGAAGACTGATTTTTTCTATGTGTTTTCCGGCTATTACGATGTAAGTAATTTGGTATGGGGATATTGCAAAATTTTAAATACTACCCTTTTTTTCATTGAGATACCAATACTAAAATATCATACCTATGACTTCAATCCTCACGTTGTAAGCCCATGTATTTCCTCCCTCTTGCATCCTGCACTGAAAGGTAGCATTCTCTTTTTGCGTTATCCTATTTATTGTCAACGTAGAAAATTTACTTGTGCTATTTAAGCGGAATCGAGTTCTGTAATTGTGTCTGTCGTATAACATAGAGGATGAACCTATGACATCTCCAATGTCATCAGGAACGCCAGAACCATGACGAATGCTGAACTGTTTAAGCCGTATGGTCTGATCACCCAACAGGTTGTATTTCCACGTTACTCGATAATTTGTAGTCCCCTGCAACACTCGCATAACAACAGTTTGAACGTTATTGCTTCCAGCCACCGTTTGATTCCATGCAGGAGACGGGGCAGTCCATGCAAACATAGCATCTGAAAAGAAAATAAATTGTTTATTCGTTTTTCCAAAATGTCAAAAGAGGGAAATATCAATGTGATGGGTCATTTTATTCACCAGTACAGTATATCTCAGTTTCACAGAGATGTTAAATGAAAAATTCCACTTTCATTACGAAGGTGTGTAATCTGTATTTTAATAGAGAAATCTAATTTATTGCCTTCTCCGCGCACAACGTTCAGTCTTTTTATCTTCTCCACGTTATTAAAGAATAAAAAAAGATCAGTATAAAAAGATCTTAATGTCTTTTGAAACAGGCTGCAGGGAGAGAAGAAGGCAAATGAAATTGCAACTGACCTAGTTACACAGACCCTTTTCATCACAAGTTTTCATTATCGGTACAGACTGTATCCACAATTCATCTACGGCACGCTTTGATAATGGAGCGTATAAGGGGGCAACCTAATTAACAAAACCCTAGTAAGCAGCAGCCCCAAACGCCTAAGTGCTTATAGCGTGGTTTAGTAAAAAAAAATAATGATTAATTTGATGTCGTTGAGGCAGTACAGACTATACAAAGAATATTTGCTGTTACCACCGTTATTCGTTGCTGTCACTGTCAAATGTCGATTAAAAACAGTTAATGAAACAGATCATTCAATGCTAAAAGGAAGTAAGTTGGCTGAAAATTATTCTCTTAACAAAAAACGTGAAAGAATCTGATTTTGAGATACAGCCCCTCCAAATTTTTTTTATGCTGTATCTGTCTTGTTCGTGTTTTGAATCACACAAGTTTTCCGCTGATTTATGTTTGGCTTAATCCATCAAGGTTGGTTAAACATTTGACATCCCTCTGGACTGTTCACAGCCCTCTAAGGGCCCATAAGTGTTGATGCTCGTAACTTTTTTTTTTCTCTCTGAAGTGAGTCTTGAAGGGGGTTATATTACGAGGGAGTCCAGCTCCCTATCCTCGCCCCCCGCGATTCACACCCAATATGCTTTCCATTATCGCCAGCTAGTTTGCATGAAGTACTCAGGCTAAAAGCACTAGTCTAACGCTGCTTAATCTTTGCCACTAAACAAATTCTCGTGTGTACGTTTTATCACTTTATAGCAACATGTTAATACGATATTCGGTTTCCCTACATCAGATTTATAATCCATTGTACCGTTTCCACTGATGCTACTCGTATTTCGAATTAAAGCACTAACTGTCCATCAACCAATCTAAGAGGATTTTTTTAAAAGCTAGATGTGCTACGTTTCAGAGAACAACTGCTTGCAAATTGTGCCCACAGCCATTATTACCTTACTCCGTTTAATTTCCAGTAAACTAGGACTAATTTTTTAAACGCAAAAATAATAATAATAATGATAATGATGATGACATTAACAATTTTTATAATAGTTCTAATTGTAATAATTAAAACAATAATAGAGGCCATAATAATCATAATAATTCATACTACACATATATTCGTTCACTAGCCGCTTGGCCTGTTCCAGGCGTTCAGACAGCAGAGCGCGGGAGAAAAATTCACGAAGACAGAAAAAAAAAACGACCGCGCTCTACTATCTGAACGCCTGGAACAGGGTATTCGTTCACACTCCATATTATACACAAAGCCCGGATTTCACCCTGCACCCAGGACATTCTCTATCCATACCGGAGTAGACAATTCACGGTGCACATTAACACCTCGGGGAAAGCTGTAGTGTCCGCTTAATACAGGGTGTCCGCCTAATACAGGTTTCAATTGAAAACGACATGTGATGTTTCAAATGCCGTTCAAATGAACAGTGGAAACGTTTCGAATACTGCCAGAGACTATGACGATATACGTTTGCATGAATTTCTTTATCAAAGTGGACCAATTGTTCATAGTACCTTAAACATAGATTGTAAAAAAAAAAATTTGAAGAAATCAGAGGAGTGAAAAAAGCTCTATACAAACAAAACGAAATAGAAAACAATACTGTAGGTGATAGTAATAAAACAATTACCGTTAACACTGATAAAAGTTGCAGTGAATTTTGTGGGTTCTTTTGGGTGGGGACGTAATCTTTGAAGCTTAACCCTCCTGTCGGAAATTATTAATTGAAAGATATTTTATTGCACGTCTGTTTAGCGCTTACAAATACTGATTACTATTTCAGTTTCCTACAAAGTCGTTTGTTTATCATACAACAGGGAGTACGTAACCATGGGACACTAAAAACACTGTCTAATTAAAACAATAATGATTATCACAAAATAATATTTCAATAATCTCCTACCATTCTAAGAAAAAGCTAATAAAAAAAAATGAAATAACTAAGTTAGCCGTAATCAATTATTAGTCTATCTAAAATATTGCCTTAGGGAATGATAAGAAGTGAGTCTTTCGGATAAATCTCTGAATAGAATGAGGCCCAGTACATTCGTTCATTCGTTAATTTAATACTGAGTGGATTCGCCTAACGAGAGAAACAAAGATTGCCCACAGTTTCTGTCTCAAAGGACTAATCTACTTCAAGTAGCTTAGCGATTTGCGTTCAGTTGGATGAACACCTTTGTCAATTAAAATACCTCGTGCTAATTTACGTTGAGAGGAAGATGTATCACGCGGCAGATTCTCAAATAGAAACGAAGCCATGCGATAGTTTTTACTAATTCAAAGGATCTTTTTACCTTTTTTAAGTCAAATATTTAATCATAGTCCGTGATGATGGGCAACAAATGTGCACACACAAAATAACCGGATTATTCCCCTTTTGTTTCCACCACGTTAATGGCGCCTAAAGTTAGAGAAGTAATCATTAGAGAAATGGTCACGTTTAATCATGTCAGAGTCCAATGAGGCTAATTTGGGCTATTCTAATTTTTCAAATACAAAGTGGCATGAAAGTGACATATTCAACGAACGTCTATATTACATGAATAAAGTCTTGTCTACCGCAATCTACCTACCTGTGTATTGTGAAGATAAAAGAACTTGCAGAAATAACGATATGAGGAGCGCACAGGATATCATGGCTGCTGTACCCAATTTTTTGCTTCACTGTGCTCTAGAAAAGATGTTTACACTCAGGGTCTCACACAAGAATAGACAATAATGCGATGACATCAGATGAAAAACGTTTTATCCAAGCATACGGATTGCCAGGGCAGAAACCAGATTAAGACACCGCGCAAATGTGACATCGATCCTCAATCTTTTTCCGGAAATTCTCATGAAATCGCACTTTCCCGATGAAATGTTTCTGTAAACGTTTCACACAAGCGAAGATCCGTAGATTACACTGAAATTCACAACGAAAACAGAACCTAGTGAGGGAGAAAGTGAGTGAGTGAGGTTACTGAATAACTAACGATTGAGACTACTACTCGGACATTTCAAAAGGGAAAAAAATTCACACAAGGTCTTACGGGATTAAATATAGCGTAGCATTATATTCCACCCGGCGTAAAAAATACACAAATGAAAATAAAACTCTCTGTCATAATCCCTAAAAATAACAATCGGCTTGATAAGAGAAAACCATAGGGCGCCAAAGAATATTAATACTTCTTTCTGATTCCACCATTATAATTCTTATAAAATTCATTCGCTTGACATCTGGACCGCATTATGCGATATGTCAGTCCTAAAAGGGTAAGATGACAGCCACGTCAAATAAATCAGCTTAACGAATACAAGCTATGTCTTGGGAATTTTTGCCCACTCAGTGTCAAATACCTCAAACATTGCGTATACTTTTTTTAAAAAAGAAAAAAAATGACGTCTGGTGAAAGTGCTACAGATGTCAGTGTTTCCTCAGAGACACTACTCGCGTAGTATGTGCTCGGGGGTACTCCTAAGAATTCTTGTTGGGGTGTGCCGCCCGGTTCTCAAAATCCTGACGCTATTTCAGACCAGAAAATGTCATTTTCCACAACTGTTTTCAGACCAGGCCTCTAAAATCCATACCCGATTTCAGTCCTGGTCTCTGCCTATGTCATCATAACTGAGATTAGAATGCCAAATAAGAGATTGCTTTAAAATCCTCTTTGCACATAACTCTTTCTTTCTCAGTATTCATCTGAAATTAAACTGAAACGACAACTACGTTGATGCACTCCCGTAGTTCCCTCGAAAACCCTACCCGATTCCAGACGAAAATGGGCGAAATGTATACCCGTTTTCAGACCAAAACGGCGCAAAAAAAATATCCTTTGGGGCAGCACATACTACCCGCTTATATAAGGGAGTACCCCCCTACCCTCCCGTCAGTTTGTGCCACGAAGTGTACCCATTGTTTTTCTCCTGACCTTAAATCGGATATGTCTGGCTATTTGTTCCAATACCCGTATATATTTTCATGTTCCGCGGTAAAATACAACTGTTAAAACACCGAGAATTCACCTTGGGTGATAGCGATATGATCTTAATTATTATGACCTCTCTTTTAGATATTGAGATTAGAAAGGGAAATGCGATTCTTATCGCTCATGAACAAGGCAAGGCCAGCTATAACGAAAATGAAACTACTTTTGTTTCACTCATTAGCGCTTTCTACTATAATTACTAAAAATAGGTTTTGTCACCTTAGACCCCCCGCGTGACTCAGACAAACTTTGCATTCTACTCCAAGGCTTTGTGTGGGAAACATACGTTTCCGACATGAAAATTGTTCATAAAATTCGCAGTGAGCGTTCTTAAAATGTTTTTTGAGCATAATTCCAATATATAAAAGACACTACTGCTATTGGGAGCAAAACCTGGTCCAGTAACTCAAATAAATGGTTAAAATCAGAAAATAAAGCGACTCGATCAAAGAAGGTTACTGAAATCGGATCCCTAGCTCTGTGTCTTAGGCAGAAAGCACCGCTATGCACTGAAACATGACATAACATTATTGGCTGTGTAATACTCCAAAATCGAAATTGCTAAAGAGAAAATCGCGTTTGGATGTGCTCCTCGCAAGCCTGTGACAGAATATCTAAGGGGAAAAGCACACCAACATTAGCACAAACCGGAAATTGTATAAGTTTGTTCTGTTGTTGTGCGGCAGGAAGACCATATGAATCCGGGACGAATACTGTAGTATTTTACATCCTGTAGTACCGCTAACATAAGCACTCGAAAAAAAAATTGAGCAACCTTTGCCTATAAATTTAACCAAATGCACCGTTTCACGCACAGCTATGAAGCCCTGCTCTCCACACATTTTAACATAATTTTACCCACAGCATTAAGACGCCGCATAAGAAATAAAGCCACTCATCTGTACAGTTTTTTCCACGTTTAACGCTGTCTTGGCAGGCGTTAATTATTTTCGGGATATTTATTATCGAAACCAAGCTGGATTTTGTTTCCTTTAACGATAAACATCTTCAAAAACGACGAAAATTTTTTTGCCGAACGTGACTTTCCCATACCAAACTCTTACACTGTCTGAGTCACAGCAGGGACCAGAAAATTGTGACGTCATTAGTAGAAAGCGCTATTTCACTCCGTGGGTAGATTAAATGTCACATGCTGCACACGTGAAGTCCGTCCACATAGGTCAGCGTAAGAAATTTTGTTTTGCACTGAACTTTAGTCTGGTAGTTGTCGTTAGTCATTATCAGTGAACCTGTTCCAGAACCGTCACAAAAAGATCGAGAAAATCCACGAGCAAGTAAATAAAAAGTGAGTCTTTATGTAGAGAAACAGTTAGGAAAATAGTTAGAGAGAGAAGAGAAACTGAGGGGTGAAAGGAGAAGAAAAAGAAAGAAAAATTTAAGGCAGAAAACGAGTATTAGAGCTACAGCTGTATAGTCTGCGTTTTCACGCAGGCAATAGCTACCTACTGTACAGCTAACAACACTGTAACAAGTCTCAGCGCAAGGAAAAAAAAAAGAAATATCTATAGAATGTATTGAGCTGAGCTAATACAGCCGGCCAGTTAAATCTTGAGCAGGCGGACGATAGACCGCTGTCACGATAGCGTGAAAGTTTTTAAGACCTACGGACCGCCGATCATTTTGCTCGACGGAATCTTTGCCCGTGAGCCCTCGAAATATCTGGTTTTTTTCGATTGTGCCCGTAATCTCCGCGCCCGCGCCCGTGCCCGTGCCCGCCCCCGAGAGTCAACCACAAAATTTGACTGCAGACAGTCTTTTATTTTTCTTTTGAATCACAAGAGCACGCATGAGCCCTGCTCACGCGTGCTCCGTCTCTAATGTAACTTTTTCGCTGACCGCGCGAGGCCCTATATAGCTAGCTGAGGAAAAAAAAGGACGACCGCTCGCGGGACCACAGCGTGGACAGTACCTGAATTACATAAGATCCCATAATATTCAGGGCACTTCAAGTATATCAAGCTAAGTATATCTAGCTCGAGGCCGGTAGCCTGCTTCACAGAAGAAACGAAACAGCGCCGAAATCCTTATTCTGGGCCCCCACCTGTGTACCAGGATTAGAGTTCCTCCTATGATTGGCCTGTTAAAAAAGCCATTGTCGATTTGCCAATCAACGAAATTAATTAAGGAAATTGCAAGCACACTTCCGTTGATTCGGTGAGTTGCATGTCCAACGTTGCAAATATATGACCTTTTTAGACTTGTGAAAGCCTAAATGTAATAAACGACCCTATAAAAAGTCTTAAGTTGCAAATTACAGTAATTACTCAAATAAGCGCCGCGTTTGGGGGAATTTAATACTCGCCCCTGTGTTTATTCGCGTAAATACGGTACTAAGACGTATGAATGGTTTTAAGCACCGCGTTTTAGGAGAAAAAATTTAATAAGCTTAGTACATTTCCTTTTGCACTGTGTAACTTGACGTTTACAGATAAATTGCTTGTAAATGGACAAAAAATATAACATAATAATAATAAGCCTTAAAATTCTCTTCATACTTCATTTTTGTTAAAGAAATTTACTGCAAAAACCGTGGACGAAGATCCTGTTGCTTGTCAACGTTGGATCTCTAGAAAAGAGATCTAATCAGCTGAAATATTAAGAACAAAAAACCAGACGTCGAAAAGACTACTGCACAGCTGATAACAACATTTATAAATAATTAAGAAAGTACGCGCGCGTTCTGATTGGCCGAGAGATGTGTTTGCATGAGAGCATGTAAAAATGTGTGGAGTCAAGATATTTTGCTCTTCGCGCGCTAATCACACAAGCACAAATTTTAAAATGTTTTGAGATGAAAACTAGACAAATTTACTTTATTCCCTCCTCGGATGAAATTTGGAAAATCTTTTTCGCTTAAGCAGACATTTTAGGCGGGAAAGCCTCTTTATTGCAAAACAAGAACTGATTACACGCACATTACTCTTTCTGTACAAGACTTCGCGACCGGAAAGAATTTATCTTTTAGCCAGTAACCTAAACAAAGAGTTTTTCTTTTTTCTCGGGAAAGTTATTTTATAAAAGCAATAGAAAACTTTTTTCCTGTGTTTACATAGCCTGATATAAACACTTGAGAGGTTGGGAGAATTCCTGACAGTTATGCAAATACTGTTACTTCTACACTTGTCGATTATAAAAATATAAAACATTGTTTTTCAAATTTTCTTTTAGATTTTAAAGAGTAAGAACGACATAACAATTCGCTGAAGTTTCAATATTAGGGAATGTTTCTTACGCGTTCACCTTTGTCTCGAAGTTGCCATTGCATGCTGCCATGTTTTGTGCGAACAACAGGCATAAAATCGATTTTTCAAACTTAATTTCTCCTTTAAAATGAATCGTGTTAACCCAAAACTATTTTTCCTTAAATTAGGTGACTAAAAGGAATGTTTTGGCAAAATGATAAAAACTTCGATTTTTTGACGAGTGTCTTGCGATTCTCGATTTTCTCAGAAAATGGCTCTTAAGATATTTTAGTTCTGCTAATTTCAATATTAGTGTAAAATGTCCTCTTGTTAAAATCTTTCAAAATGTAGATAGCGAATGACTTCTTTTTCAGAAGAAAATGGTCCGACCGGGATTGCATTGAAACGTTATGGGTAACATGAAATAATAATTTAAAACTGACTTTGCTTCCTTCAGTAAAATGATCATTACTAACAGCAAGAGAGAATGATCTTTGCTAACAGATGATGTACACGCAACACGGCCCAAATTGATTTTTCTCTGGGCATGAATTTGAAATTGTGTGATATATACTTTAAGTGTCAGTGATTATATAGGGTGACTTTTCGGAGCTAATGTGACTATTTTTAATTTGGATATGGATACGATGTTTACGTATAAAGGTAACATAATCCATAATCATATTTAATTTGAAATGTCTTGAATTCCACACAGAATTGCCTCAAGAGGTGAAAAAAAAAAAAAGAAAGAAAGAGTGTTTAATTTTGGAGGAATATTTGGCATAGGTTAACGAATCCGGCATTCTTTCTGGTAAATCTATAGTAAATAAATAC